CTAGGGCGTCCCTTCCCGACTCGGCCATTCACATCTGCCATATAAATTTGCTTTGTCACTCTTTCCTCATTCATTCTTTCTACGTGACCAAACCACCGAAGCATTCCTTTCTTAATCCTGGTCACAAATCATTTTGCATACCACATTTATCTCTTATTACGCAATTTCTCACCCTGTCATTCAGATTACACCCTAGCATATTCCTTAAAGACCGCATTTCTACAGCATTTATTCTACTTTCGTGCTTCTTCTGCCACACCCAGCTTTCACTACCATACATTAAAGTAGGGACTAACACAGCATTATGAATTACCATACGTGCCTGTTTTGACAAATTCTGGTTCTTCATAATAGAGTGTAGTGCCCCATTCACTCTATTCCCTGCATTTACTCGTCGTTCTATATCCCTATCATATCTACCATCCCTGCTAAATACACATCCCAAATACACAAACTCATCCACTTGCTCAATCAACTCTCCTTCTATTCTTATTTCACATACCGTTTTGCTTTCTTCTCTTTCAAAAACCATCACTTTCGTCTTACTTGCGTTCACTTTCATTCCCCTTTATTTTAATTCCCAGTTCATTAATGTAACCATCAATTGCAACTCTGCCGCCGATGACGCAAGTATGACTTGATCATCGGCATACAAAAGGCATTTGACGGTTAACTCGCCCATTCTTAACCCACATTCTTCATCTTTCAAAGTTTGCAAACACCGGTCCATAAATAGGTTGAACAGCCAAGGGGAAGCCACACAGCCCTGTCTGACACCTTTTTGGATGCCAAACCAGTCCGAGTAGACCCCATTGATCCTGACACAAGCACTAGAGTCCCTATAAAGAGACCTTAATGCCTGTATCAAACCAGCGCTCAACCCATATGAGTTCAGTGTTTGCCATAACACATTCCTGTCCACTCTGTCATAAGCCTTTTCCAAGTCCATGAACGCACAAAAAACTTTCTGGTTTTTGGCCAAAAACTTCTCCGCAATCATGCGCATGGAAAAGACTTGATCTGTACACCCCATTCCCTTTCTAAAACCCGCTTGCACATCCCAAATTTTTCCATCAGTTTCTTTCATAACTCTTTCAATTAACACCTTAGCATACAGTTTACCCACAATACTAAGCAAGCTGATACCGCGGTAGTTTTTGCAGTCCTGCTGTGACCCTTTTCCTTTATATATTGGTACTATAACTGCTTTACACCAGTCATCCGGTACCCGTTTTAATTCCCAACATAAATTAAACAAGGTGTACAGCAGGCCTGCCACCACTCCCTCTCCAGCCCTTAGCATCTCGAGTGATACTCTATCATATCCAGCTGCCTTACCTGCTTTCATGCTTTTCATTGCTTTCATTATTTCATCTACACTTATCTCCATACCCCTTTCCACTTCTTTCGGAATTTCTAGTTCATTTAATTCATACGACTCTTCACTCATAAACACGCTTTCAAAGTATTCCTTCCATCTGTTTAAATTCGAAACTTCATCATTCAGAATACATCCATTCTCGTCTCTTATAGCATTTATTATAGGCTGTTTTGTATTTCCCCTGGCAGTTCTTACGAGTTTCCAGAACATTTTTATGTTAGCCTGGAAATTATCAGATATCCTTCTATCATTCTTATCCGTTCTTTCTTTCTTTTTCCTTTCAACAACTTCTTTTACTCTCTTATTTAGACGTCTAAATTCTGCCTTTTTTCTTTCAATCTCATCATTCATACCAGAAGAATTATCAGCTTTGGTTGCTAGTAAATCTAACCATGCTTTCTTCTTTGATTCAACTTCCACCCGTACCTCATCATCCCACCATAACGTATTACTTTTCCTTTCATTTGTTCTCTTACTTACACCGCATACTTCGGTGGCGGTATCCACCAAACCTTTCTTAATATTATCCCACACAGTATTCAAGTCTAAATCATTCATACACAACTCATTCAAACATCTAATATTTTCTCTCAGTCTACATTTATACTTCTCTATCACATCTTCATCTTGTAACTTCTCTATTCTTATACGCTGTAACGCAGTGGTAGATACAGATGTCCGATGCCGCCAACGCTTGAAAAGACCATTAATTCGACATAAGACGAAGACGAAGACGACGAAGTAATGATCCGTCCCTACGTTGGACCCCCCGGTAAACCCTTGTATCTACGACTGCGCTCCTCATTCTTTCATCCACAATTACGAAATCTATCATGCTTCTATCATCACCTCTTTCCCATGTATACATGTGAATCTTCTTATGACGAAAAAAAGTATTCGTCACAAAAAGATTCTTTTTCCGCACATACGGTGAGGAGGTCTTCACCATTCTCATTTATACTTTTATCACCAAACGTTCCCAATATCCTTTCATAACCAGACCTCTTCACCCCAACCCTTCCATTAAAGTCTCCTAACATAATAATATTTTCATTTTCCTTACATTTTGTCAACACCATCCTTACCATGTCCCAAAACTGCTCTCGGATGTAAGTGGGCTTAGACATGTCTGGGGCGTACACCCCTAGCAGGAACAGCTTCTTTAAGCCCACTTTCATTCGTATCCATAGCAGTCTCGGGCTTACACATTCATACTCTTTCACACATTGACCCATTCTTTCTGAAAGGATGAAACCGACTCCCTGGCATCCCCGTTCGGTCTCGCCTACACCAGACCAATACGCGGTATACGTGCCATGTGCAGTGGCATCCTTTCCCTTTCGTTTCGTCTCATTCACACATAACACATCTATTCCTCTGTCATTCATCATTTCGCATACTTCATCCATCTTATCATTCATTCCTCCACATACATTCAGCGTAGCCAGACGGGTTTCCGCAATCCACTTTTCGCCCCTCCGGGAGACAGAACGTGACGGGTGGCGAACCTCGTCGCCGGTTTTTCTCCTGGAGATTCTTCGCACCCCTGCCCCATTTAAAGGGCGCCGGGAACTCGGGGCCATTTCTTTTATTTCTTGAGTCATGGTGCGAACAAGGGTTAGTGGTAGATTTTACGCCGCTACCATACGGCGAGGAGCCGAGTCTATTTTATCGGTTTTGTCGCTCGTTTAGCACCACCCGGGGGACACGTGTAGGGTGGGCCTAAGGTTAGGTGGTCGAAGCCTACGGACGCGAGCGACCCATCCCCCAAAATAAAATATTTATTAAAAAAGAATTATGGTGAAAGTTTGTGCAATAAAAAATTATAAAAAGTTCTTTAAAATTTACACTATAGCTACAGTGGCGCCACCCTTATTGAGCGCTTTTCTACGGACACTTTTCATACATATAATTAAGTTTGTTCTCCTGCAGCGTGTTCTCGTTATTTATACCTACTGTATAATCTATGTTTTGTTGCATATTGCATGTTGCCATTTGAGTGCATGCATTCCAGTTTCGGGTGCCTGCACACGATAAACGTAAACTAAAACCTGAACCTAGGCGCCACCAGGCTTATTGTGATACTAGACACAAGGATTTTTATAAATACAATGTAATATTAAGATACCGTAATGTATATGTATAAAAAAGATCTTATTATTTGCCAGCAACACTTAACTTTTTTTTAAACCTACGGTGGTCATCTACACGCTTAGCGTATGGGGAAGGCTTATGTCCACATTACTGGACTTTTATCAACTGTAAAATATAATGGAATAAGCTAAGGCTAAGTTTGAAGCGTAGGCTTAATGTTCAACTGTCTATTTGAAATAAACTTAATTGACATCATACGTTATACGAAACCAGCTACACCTATTTTGGACCATAATTAGATCGAATATATTTAAGTTTAACTTAAAAGTTTACAGTTATTTAATTTCTTTCAACATATTTAGCCGCAAGGTTGCGGTTAATTTTAAGCGTGGACAACAAGCATGAAAAAAATAAATGCGAGCGCTTAACTGTAAAGCAGTGAATTATACAGAAGATTGAACTGAACACATTCCGTCGAAATTCGGACATAACTATTTTACGTTAAAAACGTAACCTAAGTTTAGCCGGAAATCATAAGTTTATTACTTATATTAACATTAGCCGTAAGCGTAATATACATATTACATACAACTTACACCTGCGTGCACTGCCTCGCATGCTGTTATCCTTATTACAAGCTAATAAGAAGTACTAATCTAATCCTGACAATGCAAAACAGTATATTAACTAAGTTTTATTAACATGAAAGTTCGTGGGGTTACGCTGTCGTCTGTAGTAAAAATTCTATTAATTTTGCCTGTTTAATCAACATTCAGTCGATTTTGTTCCAAGACTGAAGGTGCTTTTTATGGTTGAAGGTGACTAAACCTAAAGTTGAATCCGAACCTTCGATCACACGAGAAGATGGGACGCTAAGCATCAGACAAATGAAAGGCGCTGTGCGTTCGAGAAGATTTTGTGTTTATCCGTATCTTTATTATTATTGGCACTTGCCGTGACTTAAATCTTTTTCAATATTAAAAATCAAAAGCTCGGAAAAGCAAAATAACTTCGAGTAAAATTTTTAAATATTACTCGTAGTTAATTTGCTTTGCCGAGGTAAATTGTTCTATCTAATGAGTATGTAGTTGAAGCCGTTTTAGAATAAAAGAAGAATTCACATTTTTGTGATATAAATTTATTTAATTTAAAATAATCAAGAATAGTAAAAAAAAGTCTCTAGGTCTCTCAGAGAGGTAATTTTTTTAGGGGTAATATCAACAAAAAGAAGTTGGCAATATTACGCGAAACTTAGAATGTTGGTAGCATTGTCAAAGCTGTATCCTTCCGCTTATTCGTCTCAGTCCCTCTTTGGGTCCATTCGCAAGTCAAGTTCTATTGTCCCGTTCACACTTGCATCCGTATCCGCGCGTCCTTTCGTCGAGTCGTGTTCTGTTCTCTGTACATTACAATCAATGCTTTTTTTCTCTGGTGCGGGGTAGAAGTGTGGCGTGGACGAATTTCGAGTCAAGTAGAAATATAATTTTTTTAGAAAGTACACCTGGAAAAGGTTGTACGGTTAGAAATGGCGAATGAACTTAAGGATATTAACGATATCGTAAAAAAATGTAAAATTTTGCTTTTGGACATCGAAGGAACAACAACATCGATCAGCTTTGTTAAGGTAGGTCTGAATGATTGACCGGCCGGTGTTTTGTTTCTACATATGTTTATTTTTTTTGTTATTATTAAATATGAATTTATGAACTTGATCAGTCTTGTTTGTAATAGTCTGATGAATAAATTGCGGTGGAGGTATCGTAGGGTATCTAAAATGGTCGCGTTTTGGGATCCGCAACATGGAGGACGAAATCAAGATGGTACCCCTTTCCAGAGTATTTTATCTGAATTCCTACACATAGTGCTTAAAATATTGCTGAATACTTTATAAGTTCATTTTAATTAATAACTCTGATTCTATAATATTTAAATTTATAATTTTATAGACTTAAAATTACAAATTTTATTTTTTATTACCTTTATCAAGACGATTTTACGATTTTAAAAGTATAGGCACTATTTAAAATAATATTTTTGCAGTATTTTTATTGTAAGAAATTTAATTTCATTGCCGGTACAAACAGCTGTTTGAAGCAGCTGGCTGTTAAAAAAATGTGGAACTGTTAACTGTTCTCTTTGAATAGACATCTTGCCGTTTGTAGCTGTCTCTGTCTTACTCGTGTCAAATTTGTGAAATCATGATAGAGATGAATAGAATAATAAGGCAATGCTTGTCGTGCACTGCATTGATAATTTTATAGGAATGCTGTAGTAGTAGAGTCGAACATACTCGTACTACGCAAACTTATTTACTTTTTAACCGACTTCCAAAAGGAGATTCGATGTTTGCCGCGTGTTCTCGCAAACGGCTCTACCGATTTAAATATTTCTTTTTTAATTAATAGGTTATATTCTCAAGGATCAATTAGGTTATATTCTCAAGGATCAACTAAAACGGGACCACCATTTAATTTTGAAGAGAAAGCGATTAATACACATCTTACTCCAAAATAAACATATAATACATACCATTTTCCAATTTAAGTACATACTGTTCAATAAAATTTTTTGTGTAGTCTGATTTAATCAATAAAATTTTAAAAGCAACTTATTCATTAAATGAATTACTCATTATTGCATATTATTACAAGATATAAACATGTAACTTAGTAAAACAAATTCAACCAAAATTTTATAACAAATACAGTTTTTGTTTATGGAACATAGGTGACAAAAACGAGCACACTGGAGGCTGTTTGTATAGACATCTACATCTATCCTCGATGAAGAATCAAAATACAGATGCTTTGTCATCTTTGAGGATTAAAATGGAATGCCTTGTTTTTAGTAAAACATTCTCATTCTACCCTCACCCTACTAAACACAGCAGGATTGAGCTGCTATTTAACACTGGTGTTCTGTGAGAATTAATTTAAATGTTTTGCTAGAAGCCTTTAAAAGAACTTTATTTTAATCAAATAAATATTTAAAATTAGAGCTTATTACCAACATATTTAGTTGTCTATTCTTCCCTTGTCATGTCACAGGTGTTTTAAAAATAAAATTATTTGCATGCAGTGTATTGCATTTCGGGTTATCAACTTCTAAGTCAAAAAAATCTGTTTTTAAATCCCATCTACATACAACATTGAAGTTAATAAGAATGGGTGCTAGTGTTATTGTCTTAATGCCTCCTTCAAACAATATTTGCATAAATATATTGTCACTGGCAGAAACTTGAACAAACATGACATACCCAAGTACTCTACACACACCGAGGTGTCATTATTAAAATATTATATTTCTACAATTTACGTAACATGTGATTTTATATATCACACATTCACAATATAAACATAAGCTTCCTCCATAGATTGCCTCATATTTAACCATAGTTGCCCTGCTTGGCAGTGTTAGCGGCAGCAATTTTTTATAATCTTGAGTTATCAGGAAGATGCGTTCAGTTTCCCTTTACCACCTTTTACTTCACCCATGAGAAGTGTTGCCAGATCAGATTTTCGAAAATAATGTGTTGTCTACATTAAATTACGGTGTTTTAGAGAAAAATACAGTGTTTTATAACAAAAAAATACAGTGTAATTAAAAGACGTATTAAAATGAAAACATTTTTTATGAAGCAATATATGCATTTATTTGAAATATATACTCAAACTAACTAAACATCTTAATATTTTAATGCACAAAATAGTTTAATTACTACACTGTCCATTGCCTCCCATTTTTTGTAAATTTCTGAGTTAAAACATTTTAGCATTTTGTCAGCTGGCAGAAAATTTAATCAGTTGCTTTTACTAAAATAATATACTCTTGTGTGCTAATACTCTTTTGTGTTGGTCGGCGGATGCATTCGTCAGGCATTCATTATTTACGATATTTTCCATAAGTAGCATTCATTATAAAATGAAATTTTGTTTTGGTTGAAAAAAAAATACTGTGTCTCCATACACTGTATTTATAAAAATACGGTATCCAGTAGACGGCATGAAAATACGGTAGATCTACTGTAATTACAGTGTATCTGGCAACGTTGCCCATGAGACTATTTTGGGTAGTGATTATTCTTACAAATTTAAATTGTAGTAAGCATTGGAATACAAACACTTTTTATTTCTATATCCTTGCATTTCTTCTATGTACTATTTTGTAATAAGGAATGCATAGGCACAGGTTGGACTTAATGCTATGAGGCAATCTCTACCAGTTTTCCCATTTTATGTTATTTTTGAAAAGCTTCATTTATTATATTTTTACCTGCAACATGGTACGGTAAAACAAAGATGAGCCATTTCATTGATGGGATGGATTTTACTCATTGGAGACATTTATTTTGTGATAATGAGAAATTCTGTTCTAAATTGAGAATAAAGTAAGTGCCTACACATACCATCAAATCTGCTCTCATTTGTCATTCTAATGAAAAATTATCATAGTTAATCTAAACTTGGGATTAGCCATTTTGTTATTTTTTTCTCAGATTTACATCATTATTTTTTGGCACAAGAAATTATTTAATACAATATTAGAATATTAACTATTTTACACACTTCCAATATTATCAAATACAAAAATTCCATTTTAAAACACAAAACCTGAGAATAATTAGTATCTATTTAAGGTTATTCTTGCAGTTATCTTTATTGAACTTATTTATAAACAGCTTTTAACTTTGATATTTACCACATGAAACATGAAAAAAAAAACCCTGCAAATCTGTAATAGTGGTCTTTGAGCGAGTAGTTCAATTACCAATCTTTTTATTATCTTGAAAACCTTGTATGTGTGTAAGTTTTGTCGAAACTTTTTGTATCTCTTATAGTTTTTTTGAGATAATCCTCAAAAACCATATATTTTATTAGGGTTTTCCAGTTTATAGGCATACAAAAAAGTTTTAAAAATATTTTATTGATGTCTTAATGTCATACAAATAACCCCTGACCCCCTGAGCAGGCGGCAGAGGGCAGTTATATTTATAGGATTCAACAGTCCGACACTTCAATTTTATTGAGGTGTATAATAATAATAATAAATGATTTTGTTCACGATGCCAGTGAACGCAATAAACAATCGAAATGTTCTTATGTGACTTGGGACAGCGAAATGGTTAATATGTAAAACAAAAAGTAATAACTTTCCGCATATTTATGTTTTGCGGGTATCGCTCTCCTTGACGTTACGTTTTTTCGATCTATAATCAAATTGATGCGCGGTGGGGGCTTAGGAGAATCCATCTCTCTTTCGTTTTGTTCCGTGGGCGGCATACGAGACGTCTATTTGAAATGCCAGAAAAATGTTATGGATTACGATTGATTGCGGCATAAACATCTCGTTTACATCAGACGTATTTTTACACCTGGCAAGGGACAGCAGCGACAAAGGTGAGATTAAAGACGTCTGGTACTTGGATCGAATCCGCTTGCTCAGCGTGACGCGCGCGTGAGGTCCCTGACCAGCTGTGGAATCTTTCGCGCTAATGAAAGAGATCTTGTCAAATAAGGGATAATATACTGATCGCGGGGAGTGGCAAGTGGGTACTATGGCGTCACCCTAATATACTGCGCTGTTGAATTTTACAATAGCATTCACATTACCATAGTCGATTGTAGCTATATTTAAACTCATTTACGTAAATTTTTATTGAATTCGTTTTTTAAAATAAACGTTAAAAAGAGCAGTTTGACGTAGGTATAAGAATGCAGACATAGCTACTTTGGATTCTGAATACAATTTAAATTATAACAAAATTTCTGACAAACCAAAAACAAATTACTTTTATTTATTGGTTTGTCATGATTATGGACTTGCCACAACTATGTAAAATGTCAAAATACGGTGACATTTACTACGGTACAAGTCCTGGATGAACAAATAAATTGATTTTCTGGTCTTGGGTTGTGTAGAAGATTTTCAGTTCCAGTTCATTAAATCGTTGGTGTAGTGTTAGCGAGAGCTTGTAGCATATTTCACGACAGTATTAGAAAGTTGTTATCGAGTATAATCGGACAGAATGATCAAATCATCATATTTTAGATAAATAAAAAAACACTGTAAAAAAAAAACTAGAAGTTATTGCAACTGAGATTCATGACTCTTAAAAACACGAGCACGCAAAAAAAGACGAGAGAAGAAGGCGAAAGAAACTGCTTTTAAATTCAGTTTCTAACTAGATGGCCGTGCATCATGATGCCCATCTCCCGATTTGTTACCCTCCTGATTTTGATATAAATGCTGTTATAAATATTTCGATCATATCGCCTATATACGTAAAATACAATGTGTGCTTTCCTTTTTTTTTTTTAAGAAATTTTAATATTAGTTTCGCGTTAAATTTTATTATAATGTTTCGTCACGCAATAGTACTCGTAACTTCCATGAATCTTCTGTTGATTAATTTTATATTTTATTTAAAAAACTACTTATGTTTTGCTACATTCAAAGGTAGCAGCATCCTGCTTGTGACCGTTGAAACATCTCCCCCTCGTCCCAAATATTGCTACAGACTCATTTGTTATGGACCCTAAAATTTTCCCGTTCGCCTTTTATATGCTGCTCATTTTAGGGCGGCTGATGTTATGAGATTACTGAAAAAGATACTTTAAAACTTTT